ATTTTTTAGGACACAGTTTTTACACAACGTTCTCTAGTCCCAAACTAAGTAACGCTTGTACTATGGGTACCAGAAAACTGATAGACATACTTAAATATACTTTTCTTTTGTAAATAAATACACATTATAAATATATAAACACCCAGACACTTGAAAAATACTATGGTCATCACACAATATTTTTCCAGTAGTGGGGATCGAACCCACACCCTCTGGCGCAGAAGGCAGGTACACTACCGACTACGCCATTCGGGTCGTCATATTTATAGATATAATTATAACTTCGACTACAATACTTCACAACAATTATCATGTTTTCAACAATCAATTGCTGGGCTCGTGGGTGCTTTATTTAATAAATTACGGCGGCGGTAGGGCCACGCAGCAGCCTCGGCTGTTGCACGAATGGGCAGGCTCGTCCGGGTAAGTACCACAACCTCACAGAAGACCATCGTAAAGTGGAAGTATGACAAATACTTTCGCGTTTCGTCTGGTGAGTGAGGTAGCCGGAGCCCAATTTTCAAAAGGTTGTCAACGCATCTGTAACCCTTGGGTGTAGCAGATGTCCATGGGCGGCGGTATTCACTTACCATCAGGTGAACCGTCTGCCCGTTTGGCAACTTTTCACACAAATAAAAAAAAAATATTTCGATCAAATTTTACTACTGAAGCATCTATTAAATAACAAAATTATAACAAGTAACTTTCAATCATAATAAATTAAGCTGATTCCATTATTTACGTTGTTGGACCGCCAACATAGTTTTAGGTTTTCTGATCTGTACTATACATATAACTACTAATTGCAATTAGTAGTTGAAATCAATTATCGAAAATGATAGTGAACGAAATTCTGAAAGTCATAGATTACCGGATTATATGTGTGTATGTTGTACCTTCGTTTTTTATATCGTTTTAATTTTTACTTTTATATTTCTACAGATGAAGTAATCTGAAACTACTCATTTTCTTGTTACAAGTGTGTTTATTGTGGGACCATTAGGCCTGCCAATCAATGTCACTTCCAGATTCGAGAATGATTGTGAGTGGAACATTCGTTAAAGTTTTTTTACGGCCAAAAATTGCTGAGCCGTTATGAAAATATCCTGTCAAGACGGGTCTCTTGTGGATATGTAACATCTAATGATATGATAGGAAACTATATAGATCTACTAACAATGTTTCCTATCATCATTTCATGAGTTATATTTTTTTACTATCTTTGGGTACCGCACCGCTGCTGTTGCAAATAGTAAGAAGTAAGTAAAGTAACTGCCTATTTGTGTACCACTGCTTGGCAAAGGTCTCTTCTGCTCAGATCGTATTAGGTCTTTTTTACTTTTTTAGATTCCGCTTCGTGCTTCCACACAGAACGGACGTTACTCTGAGCCGGAGGGCCCATGCCAACCGACCCGGAAGCCATCTTGCAACCGTTGTTGCTAATTCTATTTCTTTTATCTCTTGGTGTGCACTGCTCGCCTCATCGTTGTCGTGTTTCGCGGTCTAAGGTTAGGGAAGTCTCAAGCAAGAAGAAAGAAGAAACATTATAGAAGAAGGAAAAAACATTATAGAAGAAAGAAGAAACTTTGCCCGACTTCCGAGCGGATAGTGTTAGTGTAGTGTTGTGCTCGTAGGCAGGTTCCTGTCCGTAAGTAGAATTCTACACACATTTCTCGTCTCAGAGGCGGTATTGTAATTTTTACCTGAGTGCAATGCAACAAGCACTAGGCGACAGCTAGGTACTCACTCACCCTAGCGCACCTGAAGCGCAGGCGATTAAAGGTTAATTTTAGGCACACAACTCCATGCCGCAAGGTGGGGAGGCTTATTTAGTAAACCACACGCCGGCGGGGCGCAAGCCCCAAAGGCTCAAACGTCGACATGGGTTCCCTCATAGAGGAATTCCTGCGTCAAGAATGCCCTGAATTATGGGTATTTGAATTTCGCGGGGGAACGACGCATCGTCGTCGAATTTTCAAGCGACAGTCCGGCTTCACCGGCTGCCGCCTCGCCGCCATCTCCGGTCCTCTGCGCCAGTCATCGAGTCGCCCTCTGCGACAATCGATACGCCCGTCGCGTCGACTTCCGCTGCCGCGAAAGAACCCAACGCGCCTTCCGCGCAAACCATTTCGGCCCCCTTCCGCGCTGTCGTTCCCGACTCACAATCGGACGGCGGCTCAGACATGGAGGTCGAAACGACCCCCCGCTAACAACGCGAACGCCGACGGCTTCACCGTCGTCAAATCGCGAAAAAAGGGCAAGAAACGCCCCGCTACCGACAGCGACCCCAAAAGCCAGGCCGCCCCGTCAAACCGTCCCACCGCGACGCCCGCCAAAAAGGCAGCCGCGTCTGCCCAGTCGGAACCGACATTCGCCTCCGAAATCAAGCCACCGCCGCCAATAATAATACAAGATAAGGCAAAGTGGCACCAGGTTTGTTCGTGGTTTGAACGCCACAACATCCGAGACCCCCGGTCAAAAAATACTAATATGGGTATCCGCGTATACCTCCATTCGTCAGACGATTTCCGCCGCGTAACAAAGTAGTTGCGCGAAGCTAAGGTAGGTTTCCACACCTACTCACTACCCGAAGAGCGTAAACTTCGGGTCGTAATTAAGGGCGTCCCAAAAGAGTCGGATGTCGATATGGCTAAGGTCGACATCCGCACGCAGGGATACCCTGTCCACGCCGTGCGACGTCTCAGGCACCCTCGCACCCGTGTCCCTATGGACATGGTCATGGTGGAACTTGACCCTACCCCGGAAGGTAAGGCCATTTTCAACCTTAAGAGGGTCTGTGGGCTCAGTGACTTAGTCATCGAGCCCCCACGTAAATCAGGTGTTGTGGCACAGTTCCACAACTGTCAACATTTTGGCCACACGGCCAATAACTGCTTCGCTCACCCAAGGTGCGTCAAATGCACCGGTGACCACGGCACAACCGAGTGCACGAGGCCAAAAGATTGCGCAGATCCACCTGACTGCGTAAATTGCCACACTACCGGCCATCCGGCTAGTTACAGAGGCTGCGCTAAGGCCCCGAAAACTCCCGCAAGAAAATCTCCCGCGAAGTCTACGTTGCCCAAACCCGCGCCCGTTAAATACATTCCCGCGCCCGTAGCCGTCATTAACGCCTGGGCGAAACCCCAGGTGGCCGCGCAGGTAACCGCGCCGGTAATCCCGGTCGCCTCACGACAGCTGCCCGCCTCTCAAACGGCGCCGCGGCCGCAGGTGCAGCCAATTCCGTCAGTTTTCGCGGAAAACAAGGACGACCCCTTCGCGCAAATAGCTAACATCTGCAGCTTTTTAGATAGAATTAATAGGCAGGAACTCGCCGTATTGTCCGCTGAAATAGCGGCCGCCACATCTGGCCACGAGCGTCTTAGGGCAATTAGCCAACACAAAACGCTTGTGGAAGCCCTTTGGGCTTTTACGAGCCAACCGTAAAGAACAATAGTCCGCGCAATAAAACCGCGCTCCGCCGCGTCGTTAATTAGACCCATGAAAACACCTTAATGGCAAGTACAACCGCAGGTAGAACAAAACCTCGGGCTCTGGTTGTTTCGTATTTCAACGCAAACGGCATAAAGGGTCAAAGGGATGAAATCGCGGAATTCCTTCGCGATTATAACGTAGATATTTTCCTAGTGCAAGAGACTTTCTTGAAACCTAGCGTACGCGATCCCAGAATCGCAAATTACAATATTGTCCGCCACGATCGGTTAGCAAACCGTCTGGGAGGCACACTAATTTATTATAAACGGTCCTTTCACTGTTGCCCGCTCGACATTCCAGAGCTAAGTCAAATAGAGGCATCCGCGTGTAGGTTAGCGCTCACCGGCCACAGGCCGCTTGTACTAGTCTCAGCCTACCTCTCGGGGAATAGACCCCTCCTCCAAAACGACCTAGATACGCTTCTTAACTAAGGCCCTTCCGTGATAATTGCAGGACATCTAAACTGCAAACACGGCTCATGGGACATCAACAGCATCCCAACAACGGAACAACGGAAAGCATCTCTTTTGCTTATCCGATAAACAAACTCAAGGCCTTGGACCCCCAGGACTTAGTAGACTTACCCGAGACGATAGCTACGTTCGATGACGCAAATCGAGCGATAGCGAGTCTCCGCGAAACTATTACTTCCGCAGTCACAGACTCGGAAACGGACGCGTCACGGACGGTGAAACTGTCGGGCGACCGACGGTTTAACTTTCCGTCCGACCTGCGACTGCTAATTAGACAGAAAAATGCAGCCAAACGCGCCTTCGACCGATACCGATCGGAATCGAACCGAACCCTACTTCGACGCCTTCAACTAGAAGTCAAAGATCGTGTATCGGAACACCGACACACAACGTGGGACACTCTCGTAGAGGACATCGAGCCATCGCACACCGCCTACTGGCGGTTGGCCCGCAGTCTGAAAGCAGACCCCCGCGAATCTCTACCGCCGTTAGTTAGACCTAATAGCGCTTCAGTAGCACCTAGATGACTCCGAAAAAGCCGAATGCCTTGCGGACAACCTAGAGCAGCAATGTACGCCATCGCGCGAACACATCGATTCGGCCCACCTAACGGAGGTGGACCGCGTAATCGACTAGGGCTGCGCTTCCACCGGAAGGCGAACCTTTAAATTCAGTGACCCCCGAAGAGGTCCAAGATATTATTAAAATTTTAAAACCAAAATCCGCCCCAGGCCCAGATAATATAAGTAATAAGATTCTCAAAGCTCTCCCTAGGCCGCTTATCTGTTTACTGGCGACAATTTTCAAATACCCTTCTCTCCAGTTGCTCCTTTCCGGACGACTGGAAGCAAGCCACGGTTATCGGCATTCGCAAGCCGAATAAACCAGCCAATAAGCCCTCCAGCTATCGTCCCATCAGCCTCCTCAGTTGTCTGGGGAAGCTCTACGAGCGGCTATTGTTAAACAGGCTCAAAGTGCACGTATTTTCCCTTCATTATTTTGCCTTCTGCCAACGGAACAATTCGGCTTTCGAGCTAGACACTCTTGTCCCGATCAGCTATACCGCCTAAAGGAGCACATCCTAAAAGGCCTCAACCACCCCAAACACATTAGTACAGGGGCTCTCTTCTTCGATGTCGCAAAAGCATTCGACAAAGTCTGGAACAACGGCTTGCTTTACAAGCAGTACACACTCAAAGTGCCAGATAGGCTCGTACACACCATCCGGGCCTTTTTGTTGAACCGCTCTTTTCGATATCGAGTCGAGGGCACCCTCTCCACAAGCCGCCGCCTCACGGCCGGCGTACCACAAGGCTCCTGCCTCTCTCCCTTGCTATTTACGCTCTACACGAGCGACATACCTAGAGATCCCCACGTCAATCTCGCGCTTTTCGCGGATGACACGGCGCTCTTTTACTCAGATCGCAACCTCAGTCAATTAACAACTCGACTCCAAAGCGCCGCCGACGGCCTCGGCGATTGGTTCCGCAAATGGAGAATCGATATTAATCCAGAAAAAAGTGTGGCGATTCACTTTACTCGTAGCACCCCCAACCCCCACCCGCCAAACCGTTACAAAGGTCCTCGCCAGTACAGAAAGTTGGGGCAAATATCACTATACGGCCAAACTCTCCCCTGGGAGAAAACGGTCAAATATTTAGGAGTCACTTTCGACTCGCGTATGACTTTCACTACGCACATCAATCAAGTCCGAAATAAAGCCGCGTTCGTCTCCGGCCGGCTACACAATTTACCGAATAAGCATAGTGAAATGCCCTTAAGGCACAAACTACTGTTATATAAAGCTTGCGTAAGGTCAATCATGTCCTACGCTTGCATGATCTTCGCATATTTAAATCCTACGCGCATAAACAAATTGCAAGTAGTTCAAAGTAAGTTTATCCGCCGCGCAACCGGTGCGCAATGGTATCAGCGCAACGTCGACCTGCACAGCGATTGCAGACTCCCGACGATTCGCGCTCATTTTAAAGATTTGACAAAACGGTTCTTCGATAGAGCCCAGCATCATCCCAACCCTCTGGTGGTAAGCGCAGCAAACTACCAACCGGACACAAACGCGAACGTAAACAAGCGTCGCCCGCGAAACGTCCTCATCGACCCGGTCGACGAAGAGGACTTAGATACGATGGACCCACCGCCGGGGGTCCCGCCGGATAACAGTACACCCACAGTTAGTGTAACAACAATCACACCAGTTCGCCCTCGCCTCCGAGCACGGCGACACCCACACAACGCGTACACAAGGTACACCCGCGTTCCGGGGCGGTTCTCACCGCTCCCAGACACCGATTAGCTAAATGCACAGTCGACGGCCGTCGGGGTCTCGGTCCGAACCGGCGACCTCGACGGCCCTTACATGACACACCATAGTAGTTAAACGCACGCATGAGCACATGCGCGACCCTACCCATAGCGGAGGGTCCAAACCCGTGGGTTCTGGCTAGCCCACCGGTTCTGCGTCCGATGAAGCTTTAATAGTCTCGGGACTGAAAGAAAAAACATCAGTTAATACAAGATACAAGATACAAGATCGTATTAGGTTTGTAGTCAGATAGAGGGTATTAAGTGGCCCAGCCAAAAAAAAAGCGCCATTAAATCACTAACCACTCTTTATTCTACTTTGGTTACTTTGGACAGTGCAATTAACGTGCAGCCTTCTCCAATATCCTTCGTCGCTTTTCGATTCATGCACTTATCTTTCTTCGTCAAGTCTATTTTCTTGGAGAATGTGCAACCTTTTGAAGTTAGGACGATTAAATTTCGCTTCGCATTTAAGAGGAAAACTAACGAGTACTTGCTCAAAACACTTTCTGCAAATGTTTGTATATTCAACACGTACGGATGTATTTTTATATGTACACTCATATGCGTACACATACACGTGTAAGTACGTTTAAATGTAATTTTTTTTTAAATAAATACGTAGGTATTTAAGTATTTTAATTTTATTTTATGTTTATATTAGTATAGTACATATTTATGACTAATATTTTTTTTTATGCTTGGTATATTAATATACATAATTTAAAAAAATTTACGGGTTCACTCAGTCGAAAGTCCTGAGGTAAAAAACACAAAAATAATATACATTCGAATAGAAAACCTCCTCCTTTTTTGAAGTCGGTTGAGAAACAAAGTTATACTAGTTATTTCTTTTAATGTGTATTGTTAATTCCAGATCTGTGTATAAAGTTACCCAAGTCTACGAACTTCAGTTAAGTTATACGGTCCCAATAAATCAGCTATGGCAGCGTCTCTCGCCCGGACGTCAACATGTGACGCGTGGGATACCGAAAACGACTTCACGTTAACCCTGTTTATTTGAACTCCAAATTATCCCCGTTTCCGAGATGGCGGACTAATATCGCTGTAATTTTAGGATGGCTACCTCAAAACAGAGATGCGTTTATATTTCACCGAACGCGTTTATCATTTTACCCTGCCTGTTGTGACATTTGACCCGTACATTTTGTAGATATATTCGTTAAAATACAAGTAAACGGAATAGTCATAACCTCAAAATACAGAATATGTTTTGGTTTTTGTTTTGCTTAGTTCTTTCTGTACCGTATCCTGAGATTATAACGTTATCATAGTGCAAGGATATGAAAAATATTTTTAAATAATTTACACATCAAAAAAGTCTTATCAACATTATATTATTTTTTGTTTCGTTTTAAATCGATTAGATTAGGCCACGTATATTTTTAACTGTTCTCATTTTCATATGGTATCACGAGGTCCAACATAAACATGGCACCCATTTTGACACTATGAAAATCTTATTAAAACGATGCATTATGCCTAATTAAAATTAACCATATAACTTACTATATTATTGTAAAGCCCATTTAACTTTCTTTATTTTGATACTCTACTCGATAGGTTTGTATTATTATTTCGCGCCGAAAATTTGCCGTTTTGTCCTTTTTTTACGAACAACATTTCAAAGGCATTTGGAAGATGAGAGGTAATAAAGAAATTTTCAAATATCCATACAAGATACGTGCGAAAAAACATAATTCTTCTATGTTTTCTATGTATATCTATAAACTCTTTTTTTAGGGTTCCGTACTCAGACTTCGCTGTCTGTCCGTCTGTTACCATATTCTCGCGATAGACAGTTGAAATTTTCACAAATGACGTATTTCTGTTGCCGCTTTAACAACAAATACTAATCAAAAAGTCAGGATAAGAAAATATTTACACCCAGTTTCCGAAAGCACAATCAATTTTAATTTACGATAAATCTCTTGTCAATCGTTGTTTAACATGATCTGAGTTGCTAGAACGTCTGAAAACAACATTGATTTTGATTTGCAATTAGTCACTGATTAACGGACAATCAAAAGAAAATCGAGTTTCTCAAAGCGTTTTTCGGTGGTCAACGAGCTGTCAAAAGTTTTATTAAGTAAAGTAATGTCATTTGGACTCTGTTTTATCAAAATCTTAGTTTGGTTATTAAAAAATTAAACATAAGTTACCCTAATAAGGACATTCATGTGTTCTTTTACCTATTTTATTAATTAATATTAATTATAGCGTCAATTTGGACGATCAATCGTTGGTTAAAAATGTATTTTATCACAAATCTTAGTTTTTTTATGAAAAATAAACATAATTCCCTAATACGTTGTAAGTACATTCATGTGTTCCATTACCTATTTATTATTTATTATTATGCGAACATATCATGCGATGAGAAAAAATACAAAATGCAATTCAAAAGTTAATAAGTAATATGGATTCTTTCTTTTTATAATACTTGTTTACTATGGATAAAAGTTCATTTTTTTCACGTTCTGTAAAGTTTTTTCTTGACATTTTGCATGTATTTATATAAATTAAATTTTATTATAGCTCGGATTTTTACGTTGGCAATCACACGGTGACAGGACTGGATAGTGACGTTAATTTAAGTTTTGTTTAAAAAGGGACAGCTATACAATAGAAAGAGTTAGTTGAAGTAAATCATTCATTTCATTCATTATCATTGGTTATACAGTGATTAGCTAATTTTTCTTGAACAAACCTTCCAGAAACCCAAGGCAGTTTAACAAGAGATTAACAGCTGATCATTTTTGACATAGTGTTATGTGATTGCTGCTTTGATTGGCCTTTCGGAAACTGGGCATTAGTGTTATGTGATTGCTGCTTTGATTGGCCTTTCGGAAACTGGGCATTAAGTAGGGCTCTGATACAACAGAAACTATTTTTGCAGTTTTTATAGTTAATATTACTGAATCTTTCGTACTTGTCCGACTCGCACTTGGCCGCTTTTTACATACTGCATTTATGTCAGCAAACTTTATAAACATTTTATAAGGGCGGTGAAACCGATACATAAACAAACCACGTTATGCTAACAGAATTAGATCGCACGCGTCTCATATAAGCAATAAATTGATTATGCCGATCGTAAAGCCGTAGGATAAGGCACCATTGTGGAAACGAGTTCGCGTAAAGCCATGGTATCCATGAAAGAACTTTATTGATTAAATTTATTCGCGGTGATCACGCATTTTTTGTAGACTACATTCGACTGTGGTAGGACCATGCAACAGTGCTCACTGTTGCACGAATGGGCAGGTCCGTCCGGGTGAGTACCACGATCTCACAAAAGACCGGCGTGAAGCAAAAGCGTTACAACTTCTGCGTCTGGCGAGTGAGGTAACCGGGACCCACTTTATTAAAAGGCGGCAACGCGTTTGCAACCCTACGGGAGTTACAAATGGTCTTGGGCGGCGGTTATCATATATCATCAAGTGAACCACCAGCTCGTTTGTCTCTTTCTCACATAAAGAAAATTGATTGTGTGGTAGCTGGACTAATATCAACGATTATTAGACACTCAAATTATGTCAAATTACGTCATTGGTGTTATTAGAATACAATTCTCCAGACTGTTGTCTCTTTCCGTAAAATAATTATGGTTTATATCGTCACATTCACTTATGTATGTATGTTATGTCATCTATTTTAAAGCGAAACAATTTTTAAACGGCGCACAGTATGGGCATGCGTCATCTTTAATAAAAAATGGTTGGTTAATATGTAATCGGTAAAATAACAAAACAAATTTATTATTATGTAAAAATTTTGGCACTACGGGATTGGAACCTGCATCTTCTAAGTTATGTGCCAGTGAGTGATTATCACTAAAATAATATTGATCTTTAATTGAAACATTTTGTTTTTTCAGTTGTTAAAAGCGGAGAAAAACAGTATATCATAACATGGAGTTCAATAACTCATTTTAAACTGATGAAATTAATTTTAGAAGTTAAGAAAAGTCAACAATTTTTTTTTAATTGTAGTTTGCTGTTAATTCTGTGGTTTTGGCATCTGCGGCGGAAGAGATTGAAACGGTGTGGTAATTATTAGATATAGTAATAATCATAACTTAGAGTCTATTGTAGTAGGACCATGCAACAGCTTCTGCTGTTCTTCAAAAGTCGATTATCAGTGCCGCGTTAATCTGATTTTTCTTGACCTTTAATGATTTAATTAATCAGCAAACTTTGCGACAAATTGTCGGCATTTCAAGTAGGAAATATGATTATAAAAATGGCACCTGTAATTGGGGCCTTCAGTTCATTGAACTTAGCGTCAGTTCAGCGGAAAATAATTAATACCAAGTATAAAAATAAAACCTGTTGCTATAACAAACTAGTGGAAATAAGAAAAAGAGTTAAAATCCAAAAAAAGTTGAAAATTTTGTCAATAACCACGATATTCAGAACAGTAATAATTTGAAAACTACATTTTTTGCAGTTATAATTTGCCATTTTTTGTACTTACGCATTAGAAGAATAATGAATACATATGCAATTATGTTACATAAATAGATATGCAAAAACGTTTATGATATTTTCAAAAAGCAGTTATAGTTACTCTAACTATAACTGCTTTATGCAAGCCTACTTCTTACTATTAAGCGTAGATACTCTTACCTACTAAGTCATCTATGTCAATCACTATCAATGGAAATTTAGATTTTCTGGGCTTAAGGTAAACATTTTATCAAATTATTTTCCTAAGCCATTCTCGTCGGGGCCAAAAAAGAATATCGAATAACTTAGATATGACATTTTACTTGTATTCGTTAAGTCATGCCCTGTCACCGATCATTTTAGATTTGTTTGATTTTATCA